GGGTGACAGCAGCTCATCTGCTGAGTCACATCGCGTGACATAACCATCATGACCGACATCCGCTTGCCTATTGTCCTCTTTTCAACACCTGGAACGCGTAGGTCTTTTGACACCGCATGAATGCAATCCGATCTCAAACTTGCGGCTCTTGCTGTCATATGCACACGGAATTCTTCGTCGGGCTCGGTGCGAGGTATCTTCTGCCGATCTCCAATGCGCCCGCGCGATACAGTGCTTCCCTATAAGTCGAGAGAAGCTGCTCGTGTCACCTGCGTCTTTGGCGATACATGTCTCACCTCGCTGGCTCGTCTTCCTCCTGTATCTCTGATTTGCCTGCGCCGTCTTCGCATGAACCTTCGTCCCCGATCCTAGCGACAACGCCTTTGGACCATGACGATCTAATTTTACCCAGCATTTTCGTTTCAGAGCTCTACCCAGATGATGACAGGAGTCGCGAAGAGCGGGGCGTTGTCGGATACGGTACCGGTGACTGTAAATGGCCGGGCATCGCCTCACGCTGACATTTTGTCTAGTACATCGCATATCCCGTGACTTGGCTTCTCAGATAGAGGCCTCGGGTAATGCATCTGCTGAGACCATCAATGACGCCGTAGATATGCAGGAGCTGCGATGCGCCGATCGCTTTCGTCGGGTCGTCCAGTCTTTCAAGAAAGGGCTCGCCGAAGTAACGGCAAAGATCGACGAAATTGACGAAGTGTACGAATATACGCTCACAGCGATCGAGGCCAAGGTATCCGCCTTGCAAGTCAAGATGGAGAGTGCTGAAGGTGCTATCGCTCACTTGAAAGAGACCGAAATCAGTAGGCCCTCCCCCGATTGTCCAAGAACTGCGTCTCTAACCTCTTTCAGAGACGCCACCATTCCAAGATAAACAAGAGCTACCGACTGAGAATCGTTCTGACTGTTAGTGTTCCTATCGTACTCCATATGGCGGCGATTAACCAAGTTTTCTCCAGTTCGTGGGATGAGCAAGGGATATTCGGGGTTACCAGCCGCCATCGACGATGTATTAAAACTCTATCACAAACTAGGAGATGATCACGGTCCGCCGTGTTCTCTGATTTTTCCAAAGTTCACGATCTTATGCGCTGTTGATGATAGAGTCTCTTGCCAAGGTTCTCGAGCGGCATCTTTCCGACATCGCCGACCTCTACAGCCGGGTTCAAGAGTTAGAGATGCATGGCTCCGCGCCAATCACCAGCACCCATGATGAGCCCACAGGAGAGCGTGTGTCCGAATTCATGTTCGGTCTGTCCAACAATGGTCAGTCATGAGGTTATCCTTGGCACCCAGTTATATGCTTATCATAGTCCGGCCGGCTAGTACCCGTCGAGCGTGAATGGTCCCAGCCATACAATCAGCATTCGATCCTCATGACAGAAATTGGTGAGAGAGTTCGCGATTGTTGCTTATACTTCTCATAACGTGTACAGAGGTCTTCGAGGCTCCATCAACCCCCGAAAATGCCTTACGTCTGTGTACCAATGCATTGATCGATGGGCTGTTCGATGGACCACACGGACACATACTTCTGCTTCTCTATGGTTGCGGTGAGGTGTGGGAGCGATCCCATCGGATGTGGATGCAGATGAAACGAGCTGTCAAAGGCCCAGCGGGATGGATTCTCAGCGTCGGTGTATCCCTTGCTTTCTGCGCTGTCTACATTCGGTCATCTACGGATCTGCCGCTCAACATCAGGATTCCCATTGTTCAACAGTTCACGCTCGGACTTCGAGCTACACCCTCTGCGATGGTGAACACTCTGTGTTTGATGTGGAACTGGGCTCGACTCATCGTCTTGTATATCTTCCCTGATGGGGGCGAATTCATGTGAACAATACGGTCTTCAGTACTCTATTGTTTAGCCAAGTAAAAGAACTTTCTCTTTCGCCTCGCATGATCTCGCGGGTGGACGGAGGTGCTACTGTATGACATAACAGGACTTAGCTCCTGCGGTCAGACCGCAGCCCGATGCGAGCGAGCCAATCGTCCCTTCAGACGGCGTCTTTGTGAACTGTCGGATTCCATCAAAGGCCATATGGAGGGATGGAAGAAGACTGAGGACACCCTCGTTAAGATAGAGCAGGCGTGCATGCCGGCTACTCACTGTCATTCGGCAAAGCTGCGGATATGGCGCTGGCGTAAGTTGTATGCAAACAGCCTACACCGGTAGGCTCTGTGTATTTGATGGCGCAGGTTTCTCGGTTGTATGCTAAGCTGCCTGCTCTTCTTGACGGCAGTGGACTACATCTGCAGCCATATAATCCCCAATGATCATACTTCTCGTCCTCTGACACAAGAGCGCAAGGCAAGGTATATCCTCAACCCCCATTCCCATTCCCACTTCCGCACCCGCGCTCCCCTTTTCAAGCTTCACGACTCATATAGATCACTCACAATGGCAAATGCGGACCCGGCCAGTACACTAGCGGTTCTCTCCGGGCTCCGGGTTTCTGCTCGCGGTTGTTCGCTTGGAGGCTCACGCACGCGTGACAGCTGTACGGCTCAGCACCAGCCTCTGGCGCCAACGTGCGGGCTCGAAGACGCGTCTCATGTCAGCTAAAGGAAATGCGTTGCCTGTGTTGTCTCCCCCAGCTCACGGGGAAAGGCGGGCAGGACACCGACGCGGCTTTGGCGCCTGAACGAGTCGAACGCGCCAGTCAAGACGCGTCTCGGCAACCGCCGTGATCCGGGCACGCGCGTGGCCCCGTATGGTAGCGTCTTCCCCTTCGACCTCCTCCTCAGCGTCTCCGCGTACGCCCGCGCTCTCGCTCAACTCTTCAAATGTTTGTGCTGCACCATTCGGTACTTCAGGCTCAGTCTCGCTCCTACCAGCCGTGGCTTGTCTCGGTGCAGCCACATTTGCCTCCAATGTCCCGGTTTTCGTACCCTCCACCCCCTAGCGGTTCGTTTGCTGGCTCGTCTGCAGCCTAGGAACCTAATTTATTCCTATCCCCACTCAAGTCACTTTCCGTTTCCCCCAGTTACGACATCTCAGCCCCGAGCCGTGTGGAGGCGCTTGAAGATCGTGACAGACGTAGCCTGGACACGTCCACCAAGGAGTATCCCTTTCCACTATGCCGAAGGTAGACGACCACCCTTGAGGCAGGAACAGTCGCTCACAAGGAGGACACTCGAGTCTTGCAAGCGCTGTTTTAGACAAACCTCACACTCCCGCGCGGTGGAGTGACAATTCCAAACCAGAGTGACAATTGGGGATATGACAACGATGAAAGTCCGGATCTGACACCTATATATTCGCACAGGGAACGCTTGATGGGACACCGCTATAGTACACTAAGTTCTAGTAGTTCATACGGAGCGACACTAATCATACACTTCAATTTCGACCTGCAGTGTATTGATCAGCTATGTTGTTGCCAGCGCCCCATGGGGCATGTACGCACCGCTTGCTGATTCGGTACGTCAAACGTGGAGTACACCACCATCATGGCCTGATCATCCAGCAAGACATCATTCGGACAGGTCAGCTTCCCGTAATACTCCTCCGTCTCGCCGATCGTGTAAGAAAAGGGGGCACGTGTGGTGATGGAAGGCTGAAAGAACTCGGGCAAGACCAGCGTCGACGCCCTACGAACGACGCCGCGGCTAGCACCTGTCTCGTAGGGAAGAACGCCCTCTATGCCCGAAAGACTTCGTACGTCACCGAAATCAAGGAAGACATAATTTACTTCGAAAGATTCCTGGGGTGTGTCAGCCTCTGGCGCGTCATCGCTGTTGGCATCGGGTTCATCTGCGACTGCAATCGCATCCTCGCCTCCACCATCAACGGCCGACGCGCTCGCGATGGGACTAAGCGCATCGGGGCTGGGCATCATGCCCGCGACCACAACGCTACCATCGTCTCCGGAATCGCTAGCGCTGTCAGATAGAGAGTCGGACTTGGCTTGGAGTTCGGAGTCAGCACCGACGTCCTCCACAACTTGAACACGACGTTGTTGAATGACAGCACGAAGGCCGCGAATGCCGCTGTACCAAAGACTATCAAAAGGCGCCCCTTGCAGTACAAACTATCAACGTACCCATCAGATATGAGGAGCTCCCCCTCAAGTTGCAATACGCGGCAACAGTCCGGACCCCAATTCACCCATGCCACTTCTCTCGAAGCCGGCGCCGCACTGCATGCGATTTGAATGGAGCGCGCCTTGGCGCAGATCAATATCTCGCAAGTGCGAAGTGTGATGGTGTTGATGACGGTCATGGACAATATGCAGAGACGTTCTCTGAGCGTGAAGGCGGCACGCTTACCCGGGTCTCCTTCAGAAGCGTGAATTCTCACGGACGTGACTCTGGCATTAGGATGAGGCGTCGGAAGGCCTAGACGTGTACGTTTGAGATTCGCAAGCGCAGTGGGGGTCGATGGGATCTCGTAAATGTTGATGCAGTCCTCTTCAATAAGCGCAAAGGTTTGTGCGGTGATGAAGGCAAATCCAATCGCTCTGACGAGACCTTCGGCTACCTAAGTGGGAATTAATAACGTAGTCAGGATGATCATAAACTGCTCTCACAACCAGTCTCGCGCCTGTCTTCCAGTTGTACATGACCAGGCGGCCCGGGTCCTTGAGGAACGTCGCGAGGATACGATAAGAGATACAAAGGGTTCCTGCCTTGGCGTCATGCTCTGTTACACCCCAAGAGCCGGGAAGCGAGAAGCGAAGGCGAGGTAGTGCGAAATCGCATAGCAGCTGGACCGCGTATGAAGACTTGTCATCCTATATAGAGAACTTGAGCACGTTCAAGCACACCACTGTACTGGATGCAGCGCACCTCTAACACGGCAATAAGATCTTCACGCCCAGAGAACGCTACCAGATGAGCAGAGGGCCGCACGTAGACCGGATCGTGCATCTCCATGTCAATGGCTCCAGAGAATTTGCTCTTGTACATGAAGAGTGCTCTAGCGGGAGTATCGGGAGCAGTCGGGGCACTGATCACGAGCGTCCCGTTCTGCATCTTGAGTAGAACACCCTCGGCTTCGACAGGTGAAAAAACAAGCTTCGCTCGATAGCGGAGAGTACCGGTGAGTCGACGATAGCGAAGCCCCTCGAAACACTCGATAAGCTTGCTTAAGGGCATGTGCTCGGCTTCATCGCCAACGCCATATCCCGCTTCGTAGATCCCTCGTAAGAAAGAAAGTTGCACCGGCGCGCCTGAGAGCGAGTAAGCAGTACGCCGTATGGCTTCGTGCATCTCGTAGAACGACTGCATCAAGGTCGGATATTGGTCAGATTGGGCGGATAGAGAACTTGGGTGGAGAGTGGACGCACCTCCAGGGCTCGCGACAAGGTCCAGAAATCCTCGCCGCGAATGTTGGCACCTATCTCCCCTATGAGCTCGACGGGAAGCGGGATAGCATGTATGAGAGGGTTCTGGGCGGTGGTTGTCATCTAGAGAAGAGACGGGGAACGGGCAGAGTCGCGATACAAGTGAGAGATCATGGATATAGGCCATAGAAAAAACATGAGGTTAACACGCAGGTCAAAGTCCAGACACAGGCACCACGGCGTATGGCCGGGAACGTGTCATGAAATCAGCAACGAAATCGGAAAAAGTTGAATCGTGGCCTCCCGTTCTCACATAGTAAGCTTAGATGTGCGCCCATCGTACCATCACATGCTCACCATTGGATCTTGGTATCGAGGACTGACACCGAGATCGATAGCGTAGCAGCATGTATAGGCCCTTAACCTTGCTTGTCAGATGTTCTGCCCGAGGTGACCTAGTAGGAGCACAGGTTGGGGTTGACCAGAGGTCGCTTGCGCGCCGCTACAGAAGAGCGTCCAGCTTCTCAGAGCACACGACCCCTCTGAATCTCCGTAGACCAACACTTGAGTCACAGAAACCTCGCGCACAACTATATTCAGGTATGTCAAAGGACTCTAGAAGAACACGACATGGCGCACGATAATAGTCCCGCTATCGACGGATGAATGATGGATTGACGGACTGCCGACAGCCATAGAGAACGGGGCAGGCCGGACCGAATCGTCTGGCTCATGTCGATTAATGCGAACTGCGGGTCAAATGCGCTTCCTCAGCTGGGCGAACTCAGTGGCAAGCGCCGCATGATCAGACTAGGGAGTGGCCACCGCACGCGTGGCGAATACGGGGCATACGCGAAGTTCATTTATGAAGCCGATTCGCGGCAATATATTACGTATCGGGTATGACGTGACCCTAACCCGAATCGTCGGGAATCGGAGCCGATGTCCGAGAGCATGTGCCGTTGGTCTGTAACCGTAACATGACAATGATATAATGAAGACTACAGCACGTGCTGGACGCCGCTTGTATAACGCAGCCATGAGTATAAAGTACATACCCGTGTGCAGTGCACTTGGGGTCCTATCGTACGTAGTGCGAGCAACTGTAGCTGTACAAGCCGAGACATTCGGCCGCATTCCTGTTCAGCAGACCTATGGTACGAAATTAGTGTCAGATACAGCCGATACTGCGCGGTTGAAATTAATTGGTATATCGGATACTTGATATGGCATACAAAGAAACAGGGCTGACAAGGCGAAATGGATGTAAAGAACGAGCAACGGCGGTCCGCGACGTACCTATACCCGGTACTGTACATGGCAGTGGCGAACGTGAAGCTCGTCCGCGTCCCCTAGTTCTACGTAGTTTGTGAAGTCGTAGTTTTCAATGCCCATGATGGCGAGCTCATTGCGGTTTAATTTACCTAGACGAGTTCAACGCCACATCATCTGAGAGCTCGGCAGAACGCAACTTACCGCTCACGTCGCTAGAACGAACGGTGTGCACTGCGCTGATTACGGGGAGGGCATGCGTAAACAGCTTGTTCAAGAAATTATAGTATATATCGAGCCATAGACTATGATGGGTCAGCGAGAGCAGATTTCGGTCGCGGTTGTATGAGCCCAACCTGTCCGCGGCAGCGCCCGGCTGGTTCAACGCAAATGTCCAAAGATGGGCCCAGGTGGTGACGTAGCATAACGTTACCTATGTGTCGGTCATGACATGAAAATACGCGAGGGCGGCGTGTACTTACAAACCGCTCTTGACGGCCGGCAGCTTCGACGTGTAGTAGAACTGCGACGCGCCCGTTTCGCTTTACTCGGACGCTTTCGCAAGTCAGCAAAGTCATTAGGAAGGCGCAACGAAGCCCTCACAATTGTCCTGGAAGGGTACGGAGGTTTTTCCGATAAAGACTTTTATTAGATATGCTACAATGGATGAGCATCGGTGATTGCGCGCATGGAAGAAGACGCACAAATGCGGCCGCAAGAGTGGGTCGTCGCGCACGCTCGGGTAGCAAAGGTCAAAAGCCATGGATGGGTGTCGGGAATGATTTGTGTTTGGAGTGCGTTTAACGTCTGACTTGAGAGGTATTGATCAAAGAGCAACGGAGGATGGGAGGAATGCCCCGCGTAAGAGCACGTTCTAGGTGAGCGTCAGCTATGTGAGATATAGGCATGCCATAACCTCGTCAGAAGCCCAGGCATGGTGCGGCAACTATAGCACGCACGCGGTCCCGTATGTCTCAAGGAGATCCCCTCGCTTGTTATAGTAACCTATCCAATACGAGGGCTTGGCGTATATCGAGTACCGTATATTACGGCGTGTGTTCGGCGTATGATGGTCCGTACGGCAGACGAAGAATCGGCCACCGGACTAGGCGCGTCAGGGCAAGTAGTTCGAGGTGGGGCGATGGAGAGCAGGCCCAGTGCGCGGAAGGTGATTATCCTAGACGGTAGAGGAGTTGGAGAACGTTAAGTGGGTCAGGTTGCAAAGACGTGGCAAAGAACATGGGCGCGTTCGGCAGCCTGATCGTGAACAGATCATCTGCTCAGGCGTGGGAACGAAGCCCGACTGGACTGAGCGACTGCCCAAGACGGCGTCGGTGGGAGCGTTGTGGTCAAACGTGCATTGTTAAAGTAGAGTATAGGTTATAATCGATGCATGATAGAGTATCAATCAACGCTCTGTTTCGTGGTTGAACGTCAGAACGCAGAGATCAAGGCCTGTCTCGGTACTCGCCATGATTCGCTCGCGCGTGGCCCGTATGGCTCTTCTTATCGCTCCAATCTCGTCGTCAGTGTCTCTCGTACACGCAGGCTCTCTGTTAGCTCATACAATGCGTATAATGTGCAATACAATGCTATGCGTTAAAGGCTCATCCGGAACAAGTCGCGGGACATCTCAGTACGCTTCCATTTGCTTGGTTCTTCCCAGGTATTGTGTTACGCATTCCCTGGCGTCTCATTCCCTAGCCATTTCCTAACATCGAATCCTCCGTACTTCGTACGCGCAACCCATATCATTTACGGACGGCATTGACGCATACGGGTTGCACCTTCTGCATTTATCCCATGCACCTGACCACAAGCCAGCGCCAAGACGCGACTGCCGCACTCGGTCACTCAATTACAGCCATGTGGAAGCACATGTGCGTTGAGTCACGCAATCAGTGAGATACAAGCTATGGACTTGCCATGGTTCGTGAGACGGAGTGTGGCGTAGGGCGAGGGCTCATGGTTCGCGTGATCGAACATGAACAGAGAGTCCGTTCAGGCGTGGGAACTCAATCCGAAGCTAGCCTTAAATGTTCTTGGCGGGCGTCGTTCTCTCCCATGCTGATTTCGGCGATATCCGAGACATGATAGCGTTCCCAAGACTCCCTCGAGACCTTACCGTCCCCCACCATGAGCCCTCTCAATCACGATATGTACTTGAACGTGTACGGTATAGCTCTTGGGTCGCGAATGAGGAAATATACGCTGAGTGAGGATAAACGAACCGCCGCTTCGCCGTATCCCGTCGTTGGAGGTATTGCAGACGTACCGTCCGAGGACATATCGAAGGGCGAGGCTAGTGGATATCCGCTGCTCGACACCGTAATCGTGAAAGGCGACGTAGTGTGTAATCACTGGTGGAAAGCACAGGGGCCTGCCAATCAGGGACAGTACTTCTGCGTCGGCTGGGTTCGTAACTCGGATTGCAGGAGTGGCAGGGATCCAAGAATCGACAAGCTTGACTGCGGGTTTCGTTTCAGCGCTAGCCAGTTTGAACGAAGTACGTCGCGTTAGCATGGTAGTGAACAGTTATCGCCAATAACTCATGGTATTGTAGAGGAGCCCATGTACCTGAACATCGCGTGGGACAGGAAAAGCACTTGGGGTCTGCACGCGATGACCCAGGAGCAGCTCGACGCACGCATAGAGTACTATCGCGGCTCGACCAACACAAACCCTGCATGGGGTATCATAAAGTCCCTTCGTTCGGCTCGTGAGTTCATAGATCTACATGCCGTTATTGAAATGGCTGAGCTGACAATGCTGGTAGCCATCGTAGTCGAGGGCTACAGTGAGTTCGCTTCTAATCACGTTGGCGCTCGTTCTTACCTGCGTGAGTAGCCCATGTGAAGACGATATCTGCACCAGAAGATTTGGTCGCATGGGGCGTTTCGCATTCATTGATGAGTCATACTGCTCTCGTACCGCGTTTGCAAACGCCTCCGCCGTCTCCTGAAAAGAAACGTAAATTGGGTAGCGCCGAACATGCAGGGCCCTCGAGCCTCCGTGACCGTTGATAACGTAGAAGTGTACCTGTTTTTTGTAGAATGATAGCTGGGCGTTGATTAGTGCGAAGCATGTTTCAGTGATTTGCTGTTGAGATTGTGACGTTCGGTGCATGGCAAGTGGCGTAGTAAGCGTAAGTCGCCCACGTTACGTTACAGACATTTCCTATACAGGACATAGTCGTTTAGTCCACGGTTTTCGCGCGCACAGCTGAGGCGCGTATCTATACATGCGAGGTTGACGGGACCATCCGCCATTACTATCAGCGTTCCGTTGTGAAATGTTGATTTAAACATACGAGCGTTGCATACAAGGGGTCTTGGTAGAGTGAGTACATATACAAAGTACAGAAGCGAACGAAAGACAGACAGATATCTGTATCAAATCATGCAAGCGTCGGCGGAAGGGACGAGGGAATGTGACAGAGTATTCCCACTGCATAATGTCAAGATAGGTATGCAACGCGTTCAAGAAAGTGTAGAGCCGCGGTTATCTGTAATACATCAACGACAGTGTAAGCTTCAACGTTCTGGTAATCATCAAGGGAAGTATCTAAATTGTGCGTCAAATGTGACTGGCGAGGTGAGTAGTGGCTATGTTTGGGACGCGGGTGTCAATCACGGCGGCATGCATTTGCAATGCGGCGATGGTGGGCGCTTCCATGTAATGGTATTGCTCGTATATGGAGTACATCCCGTGTCCATGGAAGGTACCGGTCAGCTTTAGCGTCGTGGATGCAGGGTCTGCTGATCGATAGCGTAACCAATGCCATATAGCCACAAGGTCTCCGATTACCGTTCCACCAGGGAGATCAACAGTGACAACGGTAATGGGTGCAACGAGCGGCACGTCGTTCAGCAAGTGGATATGATGCCGGTCCGAGACCGTGAGCGACCGAAGTCCTTCTAGCGCGGCTACTAGGCGATGAGGACGGAGGGGAATGGGCGGGCTGTTGTAGCCGCTCTCGTTCGTGATGGACAAGTGGGTAATCTGATCGCACGGGAAATGTTCAACGAAATCTTGCCAGCGCCAGTTCATTCGTTGATCGCCCATGCGGAGTATGACGGTAAAGTTGCCCGGGAATAAGATCCGCAACGAGAAGTAGTATTCCCCAGTGCGTATTCCGTGCCGCGAGACGGACTCGGTCTCGTATCGAATATCAAGCGATGTGCCAGCTGTACGCTGAACGCCGACGCGCTCCATAGCACTCGTGAGGGCGTTTTCAATGTTGCTGACAGAATATAGCTCAATAGTCACGGCCATGGACTGCTTTATATTGAAGTACGCGTGCAACACGGACAGAAGGTCTTCGTTGTGACAAGCAACGTCTATGACCGATAATACTCGTGGGTTGCGAACGTGTCGGGGGTCGAATGCATCCATAGTGGTAGTGTCAACGCATCGGCGTAGGCGAATTTCGTCAAGGTGTGTCGAGTTGTCAAATATGAACAATAGAAACCCGACAGGGACGGGGCACTGAGATGGTTCACCAGCGTCGGAACGAATGCTCAGCGATCGCAGTTGTGGGGCTCTCAACTGGCCGCGTAATCGATTGACGCATGCGATAACTACATCGATTACGCGCATATCGTGGAAGGCGCAAGTCCGGAATAATAATGGGAATGAACGACAAAATCCCGGGTTTGGGGGCGGGTACGTGTTCGACAGGAGGGCTCGCGCATGGCTGAGCAAACGAGCGTCGAGGACGGCGCCTATCAGGTCTGGTTTACGTCGGCGGTGCTGGGAGCTTTGATTCAAAATATCCAAGTCTATCCATGGGGCAGCTGTCCTAGCTCGCTGTAGGAATGTGTTGAAGACGCCGACGTTGTAAAATGATGTCGCCCATAGCGCCCAAATGACGCTGGAATCCAAAAGTATTGTTCTCCAATAACGACAAACATGCCCTACATTGACCCATCCCAGGTCTGTGCGCGCTGTTCTTTCATCGAGCCGGCCTGCAGGCCAAGCCGCGGCCAAGTACAAGAAGATGTTGAGCAGCGTCTCAGCCGGGAAGTCATGTATAGACGTCTGCGACGACGATTAGACCAGTGTTCGAGATTAAACGAGGGCCACGCACCATAACGTCGAAAGGGATTGTACGGAATGTAAACGCACACGGCAGGATGATCCTGTTGTCGTGGACGTCGAGAGAAGACCTGGCCGCGATTGGTGTCATGTGTTCACATGACGACACAATTCTCACGATTGTCTCACGTGTTTGTCATGAGCAGACACTCTGTTCATACACAACGCCGCTCTTTGTCATCGCCCACAGTTGTGCATTATGCAACAGTTCTACGCAGTCGTTATAGTCCAATTGAGGTGCTTGTACTTGATCGCGTCGATGTTCGTCGATGCCACCGGAGGATGCGTATAATGATGTGATTGGCTAGTGCGATGCGAAGTGATGGTGCGCGGAGTCAGACAAGAACAGAGAGTTTTCTCAGACGTGAGAACATATTCCGGTTTCGGGTTACTTTTCAAATATCACGTTAGTATGTTATCTGTTCAAGCGATGCTTCATGCCCCTGGCATGTATGTATGCTAAGACTGAACGTGTACGATGATTAACATGGTCGGACATTTGTGAGTGAAATTCGTCAAGATCTACGCGACAGCATGTACATATGTAAGATGACAATTGGATGCGTAATGGAAGATTGTGGCCGTTGGGAATGCGTATACGAGTACCAAGAATGGGATCGAAAGAAGCTGAAGAAGGGACCATGTTATGAACCGGGTTTGCGGGAAGAAAGCAGGGCTATGGGTCGTTCAAGATTATTGTTGGAAATGAACTGCGATGGAATATCGATATATGCTCGTACCGTACCGCGTCGACATATCAAAACTGATATTGCCCTGGAAACCCACCGTTACTAGTGACGCGGTAGTCAATGATGGTCGCGTAGAGGCTCAGCGCCGCCATAGTTGGTCCCTCCAGGTAGCAATATTCCTCGTCCGGGCCAAGACCGCACAGTCTCCCAGTAAGACATAGCATCATCGACGACGGCTTTGTCCCTCGCTTCCGTAACCAATGCCATACTTCTGCTAAGTCGGCAAGGTTCGTTCCGCCATGGACATCTACAGTCAAAACGTCCACCGGTGCCACACGGGGCACGGAACGCAGTAGTTCGATATGCGGACGGTCCGCGACTGTCAGCGTGTGGAGCCCGGACAGAGCAGTGATGAGGTCGTAAGGTCGGTAGTGATCGGGTGAGTTATCGAAGTCAGAGTTGTTGGTCAAGGAAAGGTCACGGATCTCGGCGCAAGGAAAGTCGTCCACGAACATTTTCCAAGACCAGTTTGTGCTGCGGTCACCCATGCGAAGCTTGATAGTGTAGCCGGTTGGGAATACGATGCATAATACGAAGAAGGTGTCCCGAATAGAGTGAGATCGCTGGAAAACCTGCTCGCGCTCATATCGGATGTCGAGAGCTTGAGCAGCGTTGCGCTGTAATCCGACATGGTCTATCGCGGACGTCAGGGCGTCTCGAAGATCGCGGGGTGCGTATAACTCGATCGTAACCGTGTTGGAAGACTTAAGGTTGAAAAACGCGTGTAAGACTGGCAGGAATTGCTCGCTATGGCAAGATACGTCGATGACGGCCAACGGGCGAGGGAGGCGAACTTCGTTATCGTCGAACTGGGTCATGGTCGTTGTGTTGATACATCGACGTATGCGAAGCTCTTGTAGGCGAGTCGAGTTCTTGAATATGTATACCAAAAACCCGACCGAGACCGGGCAATGAGATCCGTGTGCGGCATCTGAGCGAATGCTGAGTGCGTGGAGTTGCGGCGCGTTCATCTCGCCGTTCAATGGCGTCGAGGAAGATATGTATATATCGACGCGCTGTACGTTGTAGAACACGACAGTTCGAAGAGCGACTTGCAGATGACGCGAAAGTGGCCATTGAGTCTGATAACGCTTGCTCGATACCAAGCCTTGGGCTCTGCTCAGCACTTCGGTGGCGAGTATGGTGTTAAGCATATCTTGCGTTATGCGGCGGGGTCCAGCATTGGCATACAGTAAATCCAGGTCGATCCAAGGTGCAGTAGCTCCGGATCGGAGCAAGAATGTGTTGAATGCGTTGATGTTGTGGAACGAAGTCGCCCATAAGGACCATATACCGCCGAAGCGCAAAAGTATGCCTCTCCAATGCCGACAAACATGCGTTGCATTGACCCATCCAAGCCCACTACGCTTCGTTATGTCGTTGAAGCGGCCAGCTGGCCAAGCAGCGGCCAAGTACATGAATACATGGAGCAAGGTCTCGGTCGGGAAATCGTATATAGTTGTCTGTCAAGTTAGTTAGGAGTGTACGACGCGATGTCGACAGGCCACGCACCATATCTATACGGTAGATGCACCTCAAACAAGACGTGCACGACGATGTCTATCTGTATAGTCGTGGCTGTCGAAAGCAAGTTCAGAGCAAACCTGGCCGCGCCAGCAGTCATGTGCTGATATGACGTGCACGTTCTCACGAACTCACTCATGTGACTGCTACGGGTATGTCCGGTATTAGTCAATTTAATCTGATAGATCTTGTTGATCCCATCGATGGCATATCATGATGTTAGATCGACCGTGCGTAGTGCAAATACAATGACAGTTACAATAACCTGTGACTTGTCTATGCCCGGTATTGTACGTGGCACTGTCGAACGTGAAGCTCATCCGCATACCCTAGTTCTATATAGTTTTTGTAATCGTAATCTTCAATGCCCATCACAGCGAGCTCGTTGCGATTCAATTTCCCTTGAGAGCTTCAGCACGAGTACGTCGGACAACTCGGTTCAATGCAACTCACCACTCACGTCGCTACAACGAACAGTGTAAACTGCGTTGATCACTGGGAGGGCATGCGTAAGCGGCTTTTTCATGAATTTGTAGTATATGTCAAGCCATAGACTACGTTGTGTCAGGGAGTGCAAGGTTCCATGGCAGTGCGACGGGACCGACTTGTCCGCGGCAGCGCCGAGCTTGTTCGTCGCAAACGCCCAAAGATGGGACCAGGTGGTGATGTAGCATAACGTGGCCTGTGGGTGGTTAGTAAAGCGGCAATACGAGAGGGCACCGTGTACTTGCGAAACGCTCTTGATGGCCGGTGCATTCGACACGCAATAGAACTGCAACACGTCCGTTTTGCTTTACTCGGACGCTACCGCAAGTCAGTATTTTCGGCAGGAAAAATGCCACGATTCTCATCCAACTGTCCTGGGAGGGTACGGCAGTTGTTACGATATAGAGCCTTGTTAGATACGCTATATTTAATGAGTACGAGGGACTGCGTTCAGTGAATAGGACTCACACATGCGGCCGCAAGAGTGGGTCGCCGTGCACGCTTGGATAACGGAGGTCGAAAGTCATGCGTGAACGCTAGGAGTGGTATTCTCAGCAGTACCTTTGACGTCAAAATTGAGAGAGATGTCGGTTGAAGAGCAACAGTGGATCGTAATAGTAAGCCGTGCAGGCAAACACTGTAGATGAATATCAGGCATTCAAAAAACAAGTGTATGCAAGCATCAGGTGTCGCATGGTAACCTTGATACGTACGCGGTGCTGTACCTGTCCAAGGAGATCTCGCCGGTTACTGCAGTATCCTATCCCACACCAGTCCTTGTCACAGGGCGCGCAGAGTATGATACGCCGGAGGTTCGACGGTATAGTGATACGTGTGGCAGCCGAAGTATTGGCGAGGTATGTTGTCCGACGCTCGATGATAGTGAACAGGCTGAGTGCGAGGAATATGAGCATCCTAGGCTGTATAAAGTGGCGTGTCTACAGAAAGGTAGGTCGCTCAGGTTGCAAAGGGGTGGCGAAGAACATGTGCGCGTTCGGCAGGCTGGACATGAACAGACCGTCTGTTCAGGCGTGGGAGCATTGATCGGATTGATCGGCTACCCAAACGGGCGCCGATGGGAGTCTCATCGTGAAACGCCCATCGCGACAGTTCAGTATACCTCACCATATACGAGTCGTAGAGCATAGTTATGCGTACATGCCAGGGACACGCAGTTCTCGGTATTGACGCCAGAATGCCCCGGTATCGGTATCCGCCGTGGTCCGCTCGCGCTGGCTCCATATCGCGCGCTCTCCCCCTCCGACCAACTCCTCAGTGTCGCCGCGTATTTGCGCGCTCTCCAGTGACTCGTGAAATACTTGTTCTGTGTAATGCGGCACTATGGGTCGGAGCTAGTCCCGAGCAAGTCGCATGGTCTCTCAATGCGCACGTATTTCGTTGCATTGCGCTGGTTCTCGTACTGCGTATTGTCTAGCGTTCTGTTGTCCAACGACATAATCATAACCTGCATGAGCTCTATGAGATACTGAGTTTATTCACGTATGTCATCATCGTATCTGGTTAGCGCCTCTGCCACAATATTTTCCCCCTCTCGCCCACCCTAAATGACCCTCTCGCTGCTGGTTAGCTGACCGATACTTGATTCCTTACTGACTTGTATATATTTTTATGGGTCAGTAAGCTTGTCCTGCACTCGATGTCAGGTTGCTGACTGTCGACATCGTTATTGGCTAGAAGTCACGTTCGCGATTGCACCCGTGGTTCCACGTGGCTGTCCTGAGCAGATCGTCTCTTCGGGCATGGCTCGGCCTGCCGAAGGTTGTCCCTATTTTAACCCGTGTCTGGGAGGTTCAGGCATCTGATTAGGTGAAGGTATATATAAGTAGTAATGCCTTTCGAATATGACCTCTCCATGCCACGACGTTGGGATTTGGTATATGGGAAAACGTGCCTTCTTCGACTACACCGCGGCCAGCCATGCCGTCGTAAAGGTATGACTTACGATTCGTTTTATCTATGATGCGTGAGATGAAATGATTGTCGCCGCGGTATACTATGCCCCTCAGAATCATGTTGCGTGAGTTACGGACACGCATTGTGCAGGTGATCCGGTGCTCTGCCTCTTGAACATTCACCGCGTATATGCATGCGTCGTCTGGGAACATGCTCGACTTCCTTTGTAAAGATGCGATACTTCCGCATGCATAACATGTACCAGGTATGTCTTCTTGCCAGTTTTGCTGTATCCTATTGTTAATGGTTACCTGTGGTCCCGATCCATTGATAGTCAATATGTCCGACAAGGTTTCCCTCCCCGGTATTTCTTGGTCAGTTGAGCAATTTGAGCACTTTAACCGAACTTGTGTCGGGGGGGCAGATAACTTGAACATGTGTTGCATGATGTCTAGAAGGCTGGTGCCCGTGAAAGGAAAATTTCTCGGATCTATGCCATGAAGAGTGTCGTGAAAGACGTCCCTGCATTTGTCTATACATGCCACGTCGTTACTTCTAACATATTCTCTCCAGCTGTCCGCTATGGGCATCCAAAGATGATTCAAACGTGTCAGGGCGGTAAGTCGATGTGGGCCATCGTCTTTCAATATGCTGAATACGATTGCCAGTACAGAGTCATATCCGCAGCTCATACGTGCAGCGGACCATGCTGGACCAATGTACTTTGCGATACTATAAAGGTACCGGGCTCTGGTATCTTTTCGCGGCTGTGTACGGGTTCGTTGCGTTGAGGCTTCCATGAAGCCAGCTTGTTGCGATGTGCGTTGGCGTTTCCTAGGTGTTGAAATCGGTAAGGAAGTATCTTCTCTTATGCGCTTAGTTGATGCAGGTGCGGTTATATTATCATGTGCGGGTTTGTCTGTCCCGGTTTTAGAAGCCGTTGTTGAGGCATTGGTACTTGCTCGTAGTTTCTGGGTGGACTTACTATTGCCGGGCACTCGGTACACCCACTGCGAGTGTCCAGGAACTGGAGCTATGTCGTCTTCTCCAGACAATGCAGGATGAACATCTTTAGGCGGCGCTTTGGTCTGGTATACTTTTTGGTACGCGTTGATTATTTCGTATCGGGTGTTACCGTGAACGTTCGGATTCAGTTTTTCTTCATACTCCAACCGTGTGATGTGGTTGAGAAGTTCTAACTCTCTGAATTCCTGTCTCAGGGGACTGTCTAATCCACCTATGAGATACTCAAGGGACGGCATACGGATAATTACAGTGCCGGCATAAGATGAAGATCGTGAGAGAGCGGTATACACGTTGTGAAATGACCTGGCGTGAAATAAGTCTACAACATTTATGTCCCGTGTTCTACCCTGCGAGTTGTAGTCCGTCATTGCGAAGTTTGGCAAGACTGGTATCTGACTACGAGTAATGGTAGGTTTCTGGCCATTAGGAAGAGTCACTTTGAACGTTTTTTTCTCAGGGAGTATAGGTACAACGTTCGGAGGCAAACCCTCAATTTGGACTGGATCCTTTGGATTTATTAGTTCTACAAACAGGACGGTCAATGTCTCTTTGCCGTTCCCAAGATGCGCCGTTTCCCAACCGGCCACTCGAGCCTCTGCGCCGTTTGTTACTCCCACTTCAGTGGCTGAGTTTCTTTTCACCATAACGGGCATGTCAATACAAAGTCTTAGTACTCCGCATGTGTGATCCGCAGATGCTGGGTCTACTGACCAAAGAATAGCCGCGGCGCTGGGGGATAGGGCGTTGCGGCGTCGACGGACTCTGGTTCGGGCCTGAGTCCTACCGTCATCAATTGACTCTTCTGGTGTTGCATGAGTATCTTGAGAGTAAAACTCGTGTAGTTCTTGATTTGAGTCTCGAGCAAAGGCCCTACAACCTATATCATTTACTTTATCCCTGCACACGTTCCACATCGTGATCAGAGAGGAATGTCGAAAAGGGTGATCACCCAAGTTTGCCAATTGGCCCGGGGTTCCTGCGACTCGGCTTCTCATAACACGGATATCTTCCTCGGTACATGACCTGTACCTTAAGTTCTCGAGAAGCTTGCGATACGCAGCATCCTCAACAGATTGTGTCCTCTGTCTCATATTCTGTTTCAGGATGACGACAGTCGTTACTTGATGCCACAATGCTCTTCCGATGTATGTCTTTTGAGAACTGAGGGAATGTGTTGTCTGTGGCAGTGCCCGTATAGTTCTATCGTACAATGGGCCGGGTCCGATTGGTGGCAGTTGAGCAAAGTCGCCCGCCCATATCATGCTTTTCCCACCAAACGCCAAGAACTCATCGTTCATGGCGTGGCTCATTTGAGAGCTTATGTTACAGAGACCTTCACTGTTCAGCATAGATATCTCATCCATAAAGACATATTCAACTAAGTCAATACGATCACGTACACCAGATAACGTTTTGTCGCTTGTATTGATCGACCCATTCTTTCCATCGCCGCCTCCGTTGAATCCAAATACATGGTGATATGTTTGACCTCCTACGAGTGCTGCTGCAGTTCCTGTTGGAGCCACTATGATGAACTTATGACCATTACCGGTAGACTTGAAGAA